ATGGACAGTTATTTACCATCATGCTGATCACTTTTTAGTCGCTCTGCAGAACTACAGTTCGAACCGCTGTGGTTTAAAGCCCATTCTTACAAAATAAAGCACTATAACTTGTATAAGGGTGGAGTATTACCAATATATTTTATTCCTGTTTCACTCTCACCATTCAGTCGTTTGGGGGAATTCGTTAATTTTCTTCCAAAGATTTGAGAGTTTTATTTTTTAGGATGCATTAATTCTGTATGAATGTATGAATGAAGAGTTCAACACGCTTCACGCCACTTCACAAAATGAGAGAATGACATTGAGTGAATGCTTTAGGCACATATTGCATGTTCAACTAATATTTTGCTTCTGATCATCTAAATCTCAGCGTCAGCGCATTCAGAAATAACAGTTTGTTGGCAAAAACCGCTAAACGCCGCTCGCCTTTGACAGCAAAAGCTGCTATATCCCGAGAACCAATCAGAAGGCTCGAATTAAACCATATGTGTTCAATGTAGAAGCACGCTGATACACCAGCCTTATGAGGACACTGCGCTATTCTGCTTCAACTGCGATTTTAAAAGACGGAGTTTGATGAACTGGATGAGTCTGTCAGACTGTCTGTGAATGGCAAAACGTCCCTTACCTCTCTGTGTGTGTGTGTCTGTGTGTGTGTGTGTGTGTGTGTGTGTGTGTGTGTGTGTGTGTGTGTGTGTGTGTGTGTGTGTGTGTGTGTGTGTGTGTGTGTGTGTGTGCGCGTGTAGAGCAGTAAGATGGGTGTCGAGGCTGTGGTTGCGCTGCTGGAAGCGACTCCAGAAACGTCGGCATGTGTGATCGGCCTGTCGGGGAATCACGCCATGCGTCTGCCGCTCATGGAGTGTGTGAACATGGTGAGTCTCTCTCTCACACACGCTTACACAAATACACACAGCAACACATATGCAGACAAATAAACACACATACACACAATATCACACACACAAATAACAACATGCATGGATAGATACACACAGACGCACATTATACACACAGATACAGCTAAACAAATACCCTCTCTCTCTCTCTCTCTCTCTCTCTCTCTCTCACATGTGACCTTTGACCTGCATTTGTTGGATCTGTGTGTGTGTGTGTGTGTGTGTGTGTGTGTGTGTGTGTGTGTGTGTTTCAGACTAAAGAGGTGCAGAAGGCTATGAATGAGAAGAGGTTTGAGGAGGCCATTCAGCTGCGGGGAAAGTCAGTCATCACTTCATCCATTTATCAATAATAATCATCATATGCAGGATATGAATGTGTAATAATCCATCTCTGAAATGCTCATCAGTTATTGTCTGATTGCAGGAGTTTCGAGAACAACTGGAACACGTACAAGCTTCTAGCTCACCAGAAACCGGCTCTGTCAAAGGTAACACAGTCACCTCACAATGAGCAATTCCTTCACTTTCCTTCGGCTTAGTCTATTTATTAATCAGGGGTCGCCACGGTGGATTGAACCACCAACTATTCCAGCATATGTTTTAAACAGCCTTCTAGCTGCAACCTAGTGCTTGGAAACACCCATACACACTCATTCACACTCATACACTACGCCCAGTTCATCAAATTCCCGGAGGAAACCCATGCCAACACAGGGAGAACATGCAAACTCCACACAGAAACACCAATTGACCAAGCCGGGACTCGAACCGGAGACCTTCTTGCTGTGAGGCAACAGTGCTGCCCACCATGCCGCATATATACACACATATATGTAAATATGAATATGAATATATGTTTTATATTTATTTATACTACATGTCTGTTGGATGCTTGATTCTGATTGGCTGATGGTCACTCTCAGGTGTTTGGTTATTGTCAGATAAAGGCACAGCTAAAGTAGTTCCGGCAGGTTTAAAGCGCATTACAGATCCATATCACTCCGCTGAATGATTAGTTATTTCACAGCTACAACAGTCAGACATCACATCAGAACACAACAGGTGTGTGTGTGTGTGTGTGTGTGTGTGTGTGTGTGTGTGTGTGCGTGTGTGCGCAGAGTAATCACTCGATGGCGATTCTGAATATCGGCGCTCCGGCCGCAGGGATGAACGCCGCCGTCAGGTCAGCTGTTCGAGTCGGACTCGCTCACGGACACAGAGTTTACACTGTTCATGACGGGTTCGAGGGGCTCGCTAAAGGCATGGTGAGACACACACACTCACTTGCACACACATACACATACATATACAGTACATATACACACATAAATACATTCACGCAAACACGCACTCATACCCTCTCACACACATTTTCACACAAATAATCTCAAACACACACACACACACATCATTTCAAACACTCACTCTCAAACATACACACGCTCTCACACACAGAATCACTGACTCACACACACACACACACACATACACACTTACAAACACTATATAAATTTACTCGCTAACACACATACACATAAAGCACGTGCACTCACTCACACACACACACACACACACACACACACACACTTACACACACTATATATAGTTACTCGCTCACACACATACACATAAAACACATACACTCACTCACACACACACACACACACACACACACACACACACACACTATATATAGTTACTCGCTCACACACATACACAAACACATACACTCACTCACTCACACACACACACACACACTTACACACACTATATATAGTTACTCGCTCACACACATACACATAAAACACATACACTCACTCACACACACACACACACACACACTATATATAGTTACTCGCTCACACACATACACATAAAACACATACACTCACTCACACATACACACACACACACACACACACTATATATAGTTACTCGCTCACACACATAAACATAAAACACATACACTCACTCACACACACACACACACACACACACACACTATATATAGTTACTCGCTCACACACATACACATAAAACACATACACTCACTCACTCACACACACACACACACTTACACACACACACACACACACACACACACACACACACACTATATATAGTTACTCGCTCACACACATACACAAACACATACACTCACTCACTCACTCACACACACACACACACACACACACACACACACTTACACACACTATATATAGTTACTCGCTCATACACATAAAACGCATACACACACACACACACACACTTAGACACACCATATATAGTTACTCGCTCACACACATAAACAAACACATACACTCACTCACTAACACACACACACACACACACTCGCCCTCACTCACACACATACACACACACAGGTCAGATAAGAGTGTGTGTGCTCTTCTCCAGGTGACGGAGGTGCATTGGCATGATGTGGCAGGATGGACGGGTCAGGGCGGATCACTGCTGGGCACCAAACGGTCAGTGTGTATATGTGTGTGTATGTGTATGTGTATGTGTGTGTGTGTGTGTGTGTGTGTGTGTGTGTGTGTGTGTGTGTGTGTGTGTGTGTGTGTGTGTGTGTGTGTGTGTTATTTATTTATTCATCCATTTGTTTACTCATTTATTTAATTATTCGTTCATTTCTTCGCGTGTCTCATTAGTATCTCCTTTCCTCATTTATTTACGTGTGTTTAATCTGTTCAGAACTCTTCCAAACTCCTGCATGGAGAGCATCGTGGACAACATCAGCAAATACGACATCCAGAGTCTGCTGGTCATCGGCGGATTTGAGGTACAGAGTGAGAGCGAGCGAGTGAGTGAGTGTGTGTGTGTGTGTTATTAGTGATTGACTGGTGTGTGTGTATTTGATGTGTGTGTGCAGGCGTATGAAGGAGTCCTCCAGCTGGTAGAGGCTCGCGGCCGCTATGACGAGCTCTGCATCTGCATGTGTGTCATTCCTGCCACCATCAGCAACAATGTGCCGGGCACAGACTTCAGCCTGGGGGCAGATACTGCGGTAAACGCCGCCATGGAGGTAAAACACCCCCACAGAGGTCAGACACACTACTTAAACATTCATCAGTATTCATTCAAATAAAGCTAAAAATAAAGAAGAAATAAGAAGAAGAAGAAGAAGAAAAATAGCACTAAATATATGTTAACATATTAAAATGTGTGTAGTAATCGAATTAATCGCGATTAATCTCATCCAACATAATAATTTGCATTTACATAATAAATATACACAGCACTTACACATATACTCTGTAATCATTTAAAAAATGCACACACAAATAAATATTTGCATATATATTATATTATAAAATATATAATATTTTATACAATATAGTCATGCATATACACTCACCTGCCACTTTATTAGGTACACCTGTCCAGCTGCTCATTAACACAAATTTCAGCCAATCACATGGCAGCAGCTCAATGCATTTAGGCATGTAGACATGATCAAGAGGATCTGCTGCAGTACAAAGCGAGCATCAGAATGGGGAAGAAAGGGGATTTAAGTGACTGAGTATTTCAGAAACTGCTGATCTACTGGGATTTTCACGCACAACCATCTCTAGGGTTTACAGAGAATGCTCCAACAAAGAGGAAACATCCAGTGAGCGGCAGTTCAAATGCCTTGTTGATGAGGCCAGAGGTCAGAGGAGAATGGCCAGACTGGTTCCAGCTGATAGAAAGGCGACAGTAACTCAAATAAGCACTCGCTACAACCGAGCTCTGCAGAAGAGCATCTCTGAACACACAACACGGCCAACCTTGAGGCGGATGGGCTACAGCAGCAGAAGAGCACACCGGGTGCCGCTCCTGTCAGCTAAGAACAGGAAACTGAGGCTACAATTCACACAGACTCACCAAAACTGGACAATAGAAGATTGGAGAAACGTTGCTGCTCTGATGAGTCTCCATTTCTGCTGACACATTCAGATGCTCGGCTCAGACAACATGAAAGCATGGATCATCCTGCCTTGTATCAGCGGTTCAGGCTGGTGGTGGTGGTGTAATGGTGTGGGGGAGATTTTCTTTGGGTCCATTAGTAGCAATTGAGCATCAACGCCACAGCCTACCTGAGTATTGCTGCTGACCATGTCCATCCCTTTATGAGCACAGTGTCTCCATCTTCTGATGGCTACTTCCAGCAGGATAACGCAGCATGTCATAAAGCTCAATCATCTCAGACTGGTTTCTTGAACATGACGATGAGTTCACTGTACTCAAATGGCCTCCACAGTCACCAGAGCTCAATCCAATAGAGCAGCTTTGGGATGTGGTGGAACGGGAGATTGGCATCATGGATGTGCAGCCGACAAATCTGCAGCAACTGTGTGATGCTATCATGACAATATGGAGCAAAATCTCTGAGGAATATTTCCAGCAGCTTGTTGAATCTCTGCCAGCAAGGATTAAAGCAGATCTGAAGGCAAAAAGGGGTCCAACCCGGTACTAGAAAGTTGTACCTAATAAAGTGGCCAGTGAGTATATGTTGCATCCAATTTCTGATAATGCAATAACACTTATTAAAACTGCACCTGAAATACAAATAGCATTTTTACAACTATCTGTAATGTGTTCTCAGAGCTGTGATAAAATCAAGCAGTCTGCATCAGGAACCAAACGCCGCGTCTTCATAGTGGAGACCATGGGGGGATTCTGCGGGTATCTGGCAACCACTACAGGCATCGCTGTGGGAGCGGACGCGGTGTACATCTATGAGGAGCCGTTCAACATTCACGACCTTGAGGCAAGCTTATAATCAATCACATTTACCCCAGCTGAATCAGTTCAATCATTAAGTTGTTGATTATCAATGATTTTCAGTCTTCTGCGCTCCGGGTTGCCAATTATTTGTGTTTCCCTCTCAGACAAATGTGGAGCATCTGACGGACAAAATGAAGAATGATATTCAGAGGGGACTAGTGTTGAGGTAACATCCCATAATGCATCAGATCACTCCCTAGCAACCACCAAGGACACCCTAGCAACTAGATAGTGACTGTCTCTAGCCAAGTTTTGACATGGCAACCAGGACTTGTGTGTTCGTCATGCTGATGTAGATTCTGTCTCTGTGTGTGTGTGTGTGTGTGTGTGTGTGTGTGTGTGTGTGTGTGTGTGTGTGTGTGTGTGTGCGCAGGAATGAGAAGTGTCATAAGCACTACACCACAGACTTCATCCATAACCTGTACTCTGCTGAGGGCCAAGGAGTGTTCGACTGCAGGGTCAATGTGCTGGGTCACCTGCAGCAGGTCAGTGTGTGTCTCTGTGTGCATGTGTGTGTGCGCGCGAGCATTTGTGTGTGACTCGGTGTGTTCTCTGCTCAGGGTGGCGTCCCCACTCCATTCGACAGGAACTTCGGCACTAAGCTGGGAGTGAAGGCGGTTCAGTGGCTGACGGAGCACATGAGCGCCACCTACAGACAGGGTCAGACACACTGCAGTTATACCACTATTAAACATCCCTTTACATTCATTAAAATACATCTAAAACAATCAATAAATAAATAATAAGAGTTTGGACATCCAACTAAATAATAAATAATATATATTTACATATTAAAATTGTGTGTGCGTATGTGTGCATGTGTGTTTCAGGCCGTGTGTTTGCAAACGCTCCCGATACGGCATGTGTGATTGGCATGAAGAAGAAAGTGATGTCCTTCAGCCCCGTCACTGAGCTCAAGGAACACACAGACTTTGAGTGAGTGTCACATGAACAATACAGCGGCCAATCAGATCACACCTTCACTGACTGATTCATATGATCAACTCAGCGGCCAATCAGATCACACCTTCACTGACTGGTTCACATGAGCCAATCAGATCACATCTTTACTGACTGATTCATTTGATCAACTCAGCGGCCAATCAGATCACACCTTCACTGACTGATTCATATGATCAACTCAGCGGCCAATCAGATCACACCTTCACTGACTGGTTCACATGAGCCAATCAGATCACATCTTTACTGACTGATTCATTTGATCAACTCAGCGGCCAATCAGATCACACCTTCACTGACTGGTTCACATGATCAACACAGCGGCCAATCAAGTGACACATTCACTGACTGATTCACATGAGCCAATCAGATCACACCTTCACTGACTGATTCATATGATCAACTCAGCGGCCAATCAGATCACACCTTCACTGACTGATTCCTATGATCAACTCAGCGGCCAATCAGATCACACCTTCACTGACTGATTCATATGATCAACTCAGCGGCCAATCAGATCACACCTTCACTGACTGATTCCTATGATCAACTCAGCGACCAATCAGATCACACCTTCACTGACTGATTCATATGATCAACTCAGCTGCCAATCGGATCACACAGTCACTGACTAATTCACATCGGCCAATCAGATCACATCTTTACTGACTGGTTCACATTAGCCAATCAGATCACACCTTCACTAACTGATTCACATCTGCCAGTCAGATCACACCTTCACTGACTGATTCACATGATCTAATCAGCGGCCAATCAGATCACACCTTCACTGACCGTTTCACATGATCAACTCAGCGGCCAATCGGATCACACCTTCACTGACTAATTCACATGATCAACAGAGCGGCCAATCAGATCACACCTTCACTGACTGATTCATATGATCAACTCAGCTGCCAATCGGATCACACAGTCACTGACTGATTCACATCGGCCAATCAGATCACATCTTTACTGACTGGTTCACATTAGCCAATCAGATCACACCTTCACTAACTGATTCACATCTGCCAATCAGATCACACCTTCACTAACTGATTCACATCTGCCAATCAGATCACACCTTCACTGACTGATTCACATGATCTAATCAGCGGCCAATCATATCACACCTTCACTGACCGTTTCACATGATCAACTCAGCGGCCAATCAGATCACACCTTCACTGACTGATTCACATGATCAACTCAGCGGCCAAACAGATCACACCTTCACTGACTGATTTACATGATTAACTCAGCGACCAATCAGACCACACCTACACTGACTGATTCACATGATCAACACAGCGACCAATCAGATCACATGATCAACACAGTCATTAGGTTGTAATCATTACTGTTGATCAGAGTTTGTATTGTTTCTGTTCCAGGCACAGGATGCCGAAGGAGCAGTGGTGGCTGAACCTGCGGCCCATGCAGAAGATGTTGGCCAAATATCAGACCAGTTTCGACGAATACGTGACCGGAGAGATCGAACATGTGACCCGTCGAACCCTTAGCATCGAGACGGGCTTTTAGAGCTAGCGCTAGCATTAGCAAGCCTTCATCCTCCTTAACCAAATTAACCCTCCAGACCTCTGAGCCAACAAACACTAGTATTATCCAGCACACAATTAAAGAGAGACTCGTTTACTGATGCTTTAGTGAAACACGCCCCTATTATTGAGAATAATTTAATTTCTCACATCCTCTAGAGTTAAACCGCAGAGTTTTAGCATTTCTGAATCCATTCAGCTGAACTCTGGCTCTGGCTGGAGCACTTTTAGCTTAGCTTAGCATAGATCATTGAATCTGATTAGACCATTAGCTTAGCATAGATTATTGAACTGGATTAGACCCTTAGGTTAGCATAAATCATTAAATCATATTAGACCATTAGCTTAGCTTAGCATAGGTCATTGAATCAGATTAAACCATTAGCTTAGCTTAGCATAGATCATTGAACTGGATTAGACCCTTAGGTTAGCATAGATCATTTAATCAGATTAAACCATTAGCTTAGCATAGATCATTGAACTGGATTTAACCCTTGGCTTAGCATAAATCCTTGAATCGGATTCGATCGTTAGCTTGCCATAGATCAATGAATCAGATTTGATTGTTAGCTTAGCATAGATCACTGAATCAGATTAGACAATTACCTTAGCATAGATCATAAAATCAGATTAGACCATTAGCTTAGCATAGATCATTGAATCTGATTAGACCATTAGCTTAGCATAGACTATTGAACTGGATTAGACCCTTAGCTTAGCATAGATCATTTAATCAGATTAGACCATTAGCTTAGCTTAGCAAAGATCATTGAATCAGATTAAACCATTAGCTTAGCTTAGCATAGATCATTGAACTGGATTTAACCCTTAGCTTAGCATAAATCATTGAATCGGATTCGATCGTTAGCTTGGCATAGATCATTGAATCAGATTAGACAATTACCTTAGCATAGATGATTGAATCAGATTAGACTATTTTGTTATCATAGCATAGATCACTGAAAATTATTAAAACTATTGGTCTAATCCGATTCAAATCCGATTCAATGATCTATGCTAAGCTAATAGTCTAATCCGAATCAATGATCTAAACTAAGATAATGATCTAATCTGATTTCAGTGCTTGAAGTAAACAATGCATTTTCATTCTAATCCGATCCAGTTATCTATGCTAAGCTAAGGGTCTATTTTGATTCAATGAACTGTTAAGATAAGCTATCTAATCAGATTCAATGATCTATGCTAAGCTAATGGTCTAATCCAAAATTAATGATCTATGATAAGCTAAAAGTCTAATCAGACTCAATGATCTATGCTAAGCAAATGGTTTAATCATACTCAATGATCTATGCTAAGCTAATGATCTAATCAGAGACAGTGATCTAAGATAATGGTCTAATTCCATTCAGTTATGTTTGCTAAACTAAGGGTCTATTTTGATTCTATAAACTGTTAACTGAAGCTAATGGTCTAATCCAATTCACTGAGCTATGAGAAGCTAATGGAATAATTGGATTCAATTGTCTTTGCTAGGGTGATCTAATGGTTTAATCTAATTTAATGACCTATGCTAAGCTAGGCTATTATTCTAATCTGATTTCAATGATCTATGCTAAACTAAGCTAAAGGTTTAATGCGATTGATCTAATCCGATTCAATGATCTATGCAATGCTAAGCTAATGGTCTAATCTGCTCCAATTATTTATGTTAAGCTAATGGTTTAATCAGATTTAATGATTTATGCTAAGCTAATGGTCTAACCCGATTCGATGATCGATGTAATGCTAAGCTAATGGTATTTTTTGATTCAATGATCGATGCTAAACTAATTTAATGGTCTAATTCAATTCTTCGATCTATGCTAATCTAATAGTCTAGTCCTATTTAATGATTTGTGCTAAGCCAAGCTAATGCAGGGGTGTCCAAACTCGGTCAGTCTAGGCTAAGCTAAGATAAGGGTCTACTTTGATTAAATTATCTATGCTAAGCTAATAGTCTGATTTGATGATCTGTGCTAAGCTAAGCTAATAGTCTAATCTGATTTAATGATCTATGCTAAGCTAAGCTAAAAGTCAGCTGAATGATGAGCAAATGGTGAAGCTAGGCTGTAAGATATAGGAATATTCTCAATAAAGGTGGAGTGTTCCTTTAGGATGCGAGAGCCTCAGTGTTGATGATAACTCTATTATTCAGGTGTAGTATTTGTGCGTTTGCCCTTCGCTTGTGCCTTTGTTGTGTATTTATTAGTTTATTAATCGTCATCCTGCTGTAATATTCCCCTCAGAGTCCAAATTTATATCTCCGTGTCTGAATGAGCTTCATTGTTTGTGTTTCTTCACGGATTAATGCACTGGGCTTTAGTTTAAATGGTTTATTATTGTGCTGCTGACATGAATGTCTCTGGAGTTACTGGACGTCATCTCCTCTTCTCTCTGTATGTGTGAGTGGTTGTTTATTTTGGCTATGTAATCTGCTTTTCTCTGTATCTGTATGAGTGCTGTGGTTTATTATGATCCTCAGTGTTTTTCTCAGCTGTAGAAATGCTGCCAATTTTTTACCACTAAATCATGTTTGCAGATTCAAAAGTTGTTTCAACCTAATTGAATAAATATAGAAAACTTCTGCTGATTACTAAAGCGAGTGTGCTGTGTGGTGTTGTACTTCAACAAGCTTAATTTTATATATAAACATTTAATATGTGTTCACTCATTTATTCATTTTCTTTTTATCTTAGTCCTTTTATTCATCAGGGGTCTCCACAGCGGAATGAACCGCCAACTATTCCAGCATATGTTTTACACAGTGGACGCCCTTCCAGCTGCAACCCATCACTGGGAAACACCCATACACACTCATTCACACTCATACACTACAGACAATTTAGCCTACCTAATTCCCCTAAGGTTATAGCGCATGTGTTTGGACTGTGAGGGAAACCAGAGCACCCAGAGGAAACCCACGCCAACACGGGAGAATTACAGGTGGTTCATTCCACTGTGGCGACCCCAGATTAATAAAGGGACTAAGCTGAAAAGAAAATGAATGAACTATTTGTTAGATATTATATTATATATTATATATATATATATATATATATATATATATATATATATATATATATATATATATATATACAGACACGCACACACACAAATATATATATATATACACTTTTATATGATATGATTTGTTTATTCTTTAATATATTTTTTGTTTAAAATAAAATTATATTGCTATTTAACAATATTTAACAGGCGACACAGTGGCTCAGTGGTGAGCACTCACAGCAAGAAGGTTGCTGGTTTGAGTCTCGGCTGGGTCAGTTGGTGTGTCTGTGTGGAGTTTGCATGTTCTCCCCGTTTTGCTGTGGGTTTCCTCCGGGTGCTCCGGTTTCCCCAGCAGTACAAACACATGTGCTATAGGGGAATTGGATAAGCTAAATTGTCTGTAGTGTGTGTAAATGAGTGTGCATGGGTGTTTCCCAGTACTGGGTTGCAGAGGCCATCCGCTGTGTAAAAGGTAAAACTGAAATCTATGCACACAGACTTCATTTTTTAGCCAGGCAGCCCAAGGGCTTTCGGTGAACTGTCACGTTTAAGATCTAATTTCTTTAAAAATCAGCAATCTTCACTGACAGACACGATATGAAGTGGGTCTCAGATCAGACAAGAAGCACTGCATTAAAGTCCATTTCCCCCCGCCATGTCTTTAAAATATGACTGTTTATTTTACCCCAGTATTGTCAATGGAGTTTCTGCGCTAGCATGTTGCTACATCTTGTTTTACGCTTGAAGAACTAAATGCTGAAGTCTCTAACCGAATATAATTACATTACAACATCGATACTGTAAAAACAATCTAATGAAATTGAAAATAGTCAACAGTTAACTTTGTTGGCTTTAAAACTAGCTGCGCTTATAGCCGGTTCATTCCGCTGTGGTGACCTCTGATGAATAAAGAGACTATAAGCTGAAGGAAAATGAATTAATGAATTAATCTAAAAGATTATAAAAAACATTTTATTATTATTATTAGTAGTAGTAATATTGCTTAACAGCTACGTTTATATTAAAATATACATTCTGCTGAGCGCTCGGAGTTAGTCCTCCAGTTTCCCACAATGCGTCAGTGTGCGCGCTGGTAAGTGGCGCATGCGCAGTGGTTCGGTCTCTTTCGGAACCGCAGCCCTTCTGCTAAGATGGTGAGTGTTTGCGGCCTGAGAGCTCAATCTTCACTCATCTGTTCTGTGGAGCTCGAATAATCCACTCTTTGCGTCTATTTATGAATAAAAGATTTTATTACACATAATCAGCGCTGAATGTGTGGTGGTAGATGGTGTTTAAGAGCATTATAGCGATGATGATGAAAAGCGGGTTCAGCTCGAACTCGCCGAGCGACACGAACTTAGTGTTGTTTACAGATTTATTCGTTGTCGAGACGGGATTTTTTAACAATAATGAGCTCATCTTGTCATATTTTAGTAGTTATTACAGCAGGGTAACACTGCTAAAGTTAAAGCAGAGTAAAGCGAGTGTTTACTGCTGTTCCCAGATCAGCTGTGCAGATGAGCAGTCATTTAATTATAATGATTATTAATTTGCTCTTGATTTAAAGCTTTATTCTTTTATTTTTTTATTAATGATGGGTTTTGCTGTTCTTATATCGCTGTTTAAAATGTATAACATCGCTGATATAATGAGAGTTTGATATAGTCTGCTGTGGAGGATTGTTTTTAATATTGAATCATAATTAAAACTTCACTTTGAGGCCTCATGCTGACTTATGAATCCATTTATTTAGGCATCATGTAAATGTAAAAAGGTACCTGCAGTTTTCAAGAAAATGTTTTAATCCAGTCATCTTGTTATGTAGAGATCCGAGTTATGCTCCTGTCAATCTCTCACATTTGCTGATTTAAAGCATTCATCTCTGTTTCCCCACTTATAAGGATCTGCTGCTGTTATATTTCTGTGTAACTCCTCTAGCTTGACTGATTTATTGGGGATTTGATATTGTCAGCCATGGAAGATTGTATTTAATATTGAATCACATTTAATAGTACACTTTGGAAACTAATTCCAATTTATTTCTTGCAGACTCAATTGCATAACATCAACTATGCGGGTGAAAATTGTCTGAATTGCGTTATATTCTTCTGTAGATATCTTTAATTACAAAACAATGTAATTGCACCTCACTTTTAATGCATTTTTCAAGAAAAACAAGATCGTTATTTAGTTATAATCATTACTGTAGATCATAGTGATTTTACTTCTGTCAGATTTACTAATTAAAGCATTAATTTCTCACTTTGTTTACTGATGAGGATCTGCTGATCTAATATTATAATATAACTCCTAACATGATTGATTTATTGGCAGATTGATATTTTCAGCAGTGGGAGATTGTTTATTATAATTGAATTACACTTAAAACTACACTTTGATCATGAGTTCTGACATCTTTATTTCTTGCAACTCATAAAGTAGCCAAATATTAACATGTATAACTGCACGACATCAACTGTGATGGCAAATTGTCTGTATTGCATTATATTCTGTGGATATCCTTATTTAAGAAGCTATTTAATGATGTCAAATTGTACTTGCACCTCGCTTTTAATTTAGTTTTCAAGAAAAGCCAGTATTAAAACAGTCATATGGTTATCGTTATTATTGTACGTCAGAGTTGTGCTTTTACTTTTGTCAGATTTGCTAGTTTAAAGCATTAATTTCTCTATCTATTCACTGATGAGGATCTGCTGTTATATTGCTGTATAACTCGTCTAACGTTACTGATTTAATTGGAATTCGATCGCTGTGGAAAATTTAGTGTATAATAATTTAAAAGTATCTCTGATTCTGACTTATTTTCTTGCAATTCCTACAATAGCCAAATATTAACGTACAATTGCATGATGACAACAGTGATTGTGAAAATTCTGAATTGCGTTATATTGTTCAGTGGATATCCTTATTTACAAAACAGTTTAATAAAAACGTAACTGTAATCGCACCTCACTTTTAAATGCAGTTTTCAAGAAAATCAAGTAATAGTTATTTAGTTATAATAATTACCGTAGATCATAGATTCACTTAGATTTACTAATTAGCGCATCAGTTTTGCATTTTCTGTTCATTGATCGGGTTCTGCTGTCATCATCTTGCTGTATAACTCTTAACGTGCCTAGTTTTAATCTCTTTCATGAATATTATTCTGCTTTTAAAGGCAGTTTTGGGATTTAAAAGCTTCACTGAAACACTCCGTGTAAAACTTTCCTCATTTTCTCATGTGTTGTTTTCCTCTTCAGGCCAAGCGCACCAAGAAGGTGGGAATCGTGGGAAAGTACGGCACCCGTTATGGTGCGTCGCTCAGGAAGATGGTAAAGAAGATCGAGATCAGCCAACACGCCAAATACACCTGCTCCTTCTGCGGAAAGGTGACACAGCAATTCACATACAATCCCTACTGTCTGTCCTAGATAGTGTTTGAAAAGCATTCGGATCTTTTTCACATTTGCATGTCTCAGCTGTGAAGTGGTCATAGTTGGTAAACTCAGAGCACTGTGATTGGGAGAGTACAACAATTTTTTTACAATCTTATTTGCTGGAAAAATGACAGAAAAGGTCCAGAATGGTGTGATCAAGACTTTCAGAAATTGGAAAACAATAGTGTGGGACTGATAACGGCAGCCAGAGAAGAGAAGCATGTCAGATTTACTGTCCCGCACACACACTGCAATACACACACCCCACTCAAACAGTCACTCTTAAAATTAAATGCAAAGATGAAATAATACATGCATGCATGTTCATACGTATATTTAAAAATCGAAATATTAAAAACCTTCAATATTTTAAGCGTTACGCGCCTTGTGAAAGGGTCAACTAGTTTGTCCCAAATCATAGTGTTGAAATGAGCTTTCTGCAGGCTCCACTATTCCCAGTAGATATTGGAGTGCTGATCAGTGCATACCTTAACGCATAATATTGCCTAAATCAAATTTCACATTTTGTAAAAAAAAGTGCACACTCTTAGGATGTGGGTGAATTGGGACACGGCAGCTGACACACTGTTGTTTGTTTGTGTTTATGCAGACTAAGATGAAGAGGAAGGCTGTGGGCATCTGGCACTGCGGCTCCTGCATGAAGACTGTGGCTGGAGGAGCCTGGTCATACAAGTGAGACTAAACATTATTATTCTGATGCTGCTGGTTTATTATGAGGAGTTTTATTATCAATTTTATCATATTGAATGACAGTTAGAGCTGCACGATATCAGAAAAATGTGAGCTGTTTTGTTTTGCCTTGAGTTTAATTTCAAAAGATTAATTTAATGGCTCTGTTTGACAAGATTTCATTTGTTTAGATTAACTGATTGGGGTGATCACGTCTTTTTCTTCAGTCACATATACGATAGAGCAAAAATTTGTAAACAGTACTTTATCAAGTGCAAAAAGTGAACAAACAAATGTAAAAATAGCACTGTGCTTGTGTAAATTAGGGCTACATGATATTGCAGGGCTTGAAATTAACTTTTGTGATTGGTAGCACCGGTGCTCATAACTTTAAAAATGTAGGCGCACCCATCAATTATGAGCACCATTACTACAAGTTTTATACAAACAGATTTATTGCATTTGAAATCAACAGTAATCAAACCTACAAGCAAAAAAAGTGTGTGTGTGTGTGTGTGTGTGTGTGTGTGTGTGTGTGTGTGTGTGTGTGTGTGTGTGTGTGTGTGTGTGTGTGTATATATATATATATATGCATGCATGCAAGCGTGAGGAAAATGTCTCAACGAAATCCCGTTATCACAAGAAAATAATTTTTATAACATAACTGAGTGACCAAAAGACACACGAAGCGCTCACCGGTCCTGCACGCACTGCTGGACATGAATGAATCTGTTACTGGTATAACTGTGCTGTTCTCACGGGTGCTGTCTGATATTGCACTGATGCTTTTGACATGTACTGTACCTTATTATATGCATACGTCATGTTAATGGCAATAGCGGTCTTCATGAGTAGCGATATTAGTTCACTCAGTGTAAGCTCGTTTGCGATGGTGTACGCGGTGTTAAATACATATATGACATTGTTGACATATACCTGCCACTTGCACGGTGGACAGCATCTGGCGATTATATGAAGGATTAAACAGAAGCTCTCGTGCTAGATGTGGCAAACAGTTACCTGAAAACTCCATCCCACAGACTTTTCATAGCGGACTTGAAGCCAATGGAAGTCTTTTATCCACTCTTCTAAAACTGTAGATGGGGGAACATTCAGCACATGGTCACACTAGTAAGCCGTGTCATTATTTATAACTGTAGATGCCATGGTGTCTAAAACAACATCTGTCAGTGTCATCTTCATTCTCATCTTCAGCGCTGTACTGTTTTTCGTGGTAGCAGCGCTCTCTGTCATCCCAAGCCAGAAGGCGCTGACTGAGTGATTGACAGCTGATATTTCAGTGCTAGAGCAGTGGACCAATAAGAAGAGTGCGAAGGCGGGGCAAGCATTACGGACTTGGAATTGTTTACTGCAGCAAGTTGACATGACGACTGTTTTAAACCAATCCTGAGCGCTGCGTTTCCCGTTTCACATGCCTACAAAGAGCTTAGAGATGCATTCTGCGTGAATGTCTCCCGAATCCGCGCATGTGCTGAACATTTTGCAGTAAAAACTGGTCGCGCACAACAATTTTTAGCACTCACACAAGTGCTCCCGAATATATTTTGAGGTCACATAGATAAAATATTGGGCGCATATGCAGCCAAAATGGTCGCAATTTCGAGCCCTGAGTTTGATTTTTGGTTTCAGACTTAAAGGTTTCAGTATGTTTTGTTAAATGTGTTCAGATCTCTACAAGCAAGGTATAATACAGAATGAACACAATATAGCAAAGTGTGTTGAGTCGTTTTTATGCAGTCTGGGCTGATTTTGAGGCTTTATTTGGCCAACTACTGTTTCAGCGAATGGGATGTTTTTTTGGGGATAATCTTATTCTGCCACATTTCAGGAAAATGCCTCTGTTCAGAAACTTGACACACTCTGGCCAAATGTACTGCTCTCCAAGTGATGTTGGTGCTGTTTTTGCCCCATGGACTTCAATTTATAATCACATTTCCTGATGAGTCGAGCTGTTTCTGCCATATCTGAGTGTTGTTTTGTGTCCCGCAGCACAACATCCGCCGTGACGGTGAAATCCGCCATCAAGAGACTGAAGGAGCTGAAGGACCAGTAATGAACTGCTCTGCTGTATCTGTGTCGGACTGTTTCTCTCTGTGGCTCTTTAAACATCCCATAATAAATCGGAGTCTTGAGCGAACGCTGCTTCTGTCTTATTTCATGAGTGCATGATCACACTAAGATAGATGAGAATTTCCCAAAAAACTGGAGTGGAGTAATGGATTTTTGTAGTGATGAGATTCATGTAGTGACGAGGAAAAAGGTTGGTACAATTATAAAAGGGTATCTGAACTACAATAATACACATGGGAAAGACGAGTTTAAAAAAAAATATGAATATTTACACTTGGATGCTTGCATTTTAATTATCTGAGAAACTAATTTAAAAATATATCTTAATTTATATATATGAAAAATTAGAATTTTTATACGTGTTTGTGTACATAAAAAAAAATATATAAATTGTGTATGTGTGTGCGTATATTTATATACTGTTGGTGTGTGTGTGTGTGTGTGTGTGTGTATACACACATACATATATATATATATATATATATATATATATATATATATATATATATACATGCATACATACATACATACACCTGCATACACACACACACACATAAATATGCATGTGTGTATGCATGTATCGCACACAAAGTTAATTACATCAGGTAATGGAATTATTTTTAAGAGTATTTTCATTTGAGTAAAAAATGTTTTTATAATTTCTGGTTGGGTTAAACTAAAATAATTGATGTAAAATCAGTATACTTGACAACTTATTTCAGTGTTTACTGTTTTCTTTATGTCTGGTATATCAAAGGTAAATAGACATTATGAACGTGTTGGTAGGTTTAACTACTATTAAAATAATACAGAAGTTTATTATATGCTAATTAAGACAAACAAGAGTTATTTTATGCATGTTTTAGATTAAAACTATTGTAATATTTTAAATACAAAAAATATTATTTCTCTCTTAAGGTCAAAATTAGCTCATGAAATTCATATGAAAAGTATATGAATGCAAAAAAAGTGATGTCTTAAAAAATAATAGTAATAGCAGCATAAAAAAACAATCCTGGAGATATGGCTGGATCCTTCTGCTCTGAATGATCTTTCCTGGAGGCTCTTTCAACAGGACATTAGTCTGGAAAGCACCACAGCCAAAATAAATGCCAGTAAAAAACTACAATTTTGGTGAATGTGAGAGACTATATCAGTTATGTTTCAGTCTTTTGTTCCCATCATTACAGTATTACTGTTTTTCATTTTACTTTTTTGTTGGATGAATCTCGGGCTTGGTTCAAAATCAAAATGTTCAGTAAAAAAAAAGGGGAGAGTGTGGACTGTAGCAACGCTGCAATTAGTTCATTTTTTACAAAGACCGTAATAAAGCCACATTAATCAGATGCACACTCACACTGCTATAACATTAATATGATAAATGTAGAATTTACACTTGAACAGGCAAAGTCAAACGAGTACAACATTTGCCACTTTCATTCAACGTGATAATAAACATCAGATCAAACTGTCTTTAATTTTTTATTTGTAAACACCATGTAAATTGATTAAACTGTTAAACGTGTAAAACTGGCTGAATAAAGAAGACAGACTTGTAAAAAGCAGGTCTGAGTCAATTATCAAGGAATCAGGAATAATTTGAACTAACAATATTTGTATTGATTATTTTAATAATTAAATTAGTAATAATCCTTGCATTTCTATAGCGCTTTTCTGGACACTCAAAGCGCTTTACACAGGAGGAAATCTCCTCGTCCAGTGTGCAGCATCCACCTGGATCACACGACGGCAGCCAGTTTGAGGCAGACCGCACACCACACACCAGCTGATTGGTGGAGAGGAGACAGACTGATGAAGCAGATCATGATATGGGGAGGGTTAGGAGGCCATGATGGACAGAAGCCACCCAGGAATGGGATTATAACCACAGAGAGTCGGGACTTAAACGTCTCATCCGAAAGACGGCGCTCACTGAGCAGTACAGAGTCCCCGTCACTATACTGGGGCATTAGGACCCACACAGACCACAGGTTGGGCCTGCTTCCCTCACTAACACCACTTCCAGCAGCAACCTAGCGTTCCCATGTGCTCTCCCATCCAGATACTGACCAGCCCTGCCTAGCTTCAGTGGGCGACTGTGCGAGAGTTGCAGAGAGCTAGCTGCCGGCTGTAAACTCATTTTGCATGAAACTTCACTAAACTACTTCATACTGTGACATTCATTAATCAAAGAATGAATTGTTTGAAATTACATTGTGTAACCTGACTATGTTAATATGAAAATATTCTCGTCAATGTTGTGTCAGCAAAGGTTAAACTTGTTATGCTAGCTGGATAACCCTACTGAAAAAACTGCTTAAACCAGCCTAGGCTAGTTGGCTGGTTTTAGATGGGGTTCGGCCACTTCCAGCCTGTTTTTTTGCTAGTCAGGCGGGGAGATGACCAGCTAAAACCAGCTTGACCAGCCTAGCCAGGCTGGGAGCCCAGACAAAACCAGCTATGTCCAGCTTAAACCAGGCTGGTCAAGCTGGTTTTAGCTGGATTTAGCTGGTCAGTTTGCTGCCTGACCAGCTAAGACCAGGCTGGAAATGGCCAAAATCCCTCTAAAACCAGCCTGGTCAACCAGCTAAAACCAGCCAACAAGCCTAGGCTAGTTTACGCTGGATTGTTCTGCAGTGTGTAATACATGATAGATATACCCATTTGAAGCTAAAACAGTTATTTCAGTTGAAATGAACAAATTATGCGTCAGTTTAGACGGTATGTGACATTCATTGGAAACTAGTTCTGCTGTATACTTGGGGGCGGGGCCCAAGGCTAGATGGGATACATAAATGTAAAAGGGATACAGCTGCTGGTATGTCAATTTTTTTGTGACACTCCAACAATAAATAATAGTTTTACATTACTGTGATAGTTGTATGCAGGGTTATGGTAGTGGTATAGACGTTAATAAAATGCTATTTAATAGGTAATTTTATAAATAATATGGAGAACTACTCTCTATAATGACTGTGAGGGTTGGATTTAGAGTTGAGGTATAAGGGTAGATGTTATTAAATACACTAATGCGTAATTTAATAAATAATTGGAAAATACTCGTTTTAATTACTGTTTTTACATTTTTGTGAGGGTTGGGGTAGGAGTAGACGTTAATAAAATACAATTTAATAGATATGTAATAAATAATATGAATAATACTCTGTATAATTACTGTTTTTGCATTACCGTGAGGGTTGGGTTTAGGGTAATGGGTAATTTAATAAATAATATAAATAGTTCTAATAAACTTTCGACCACAGCTGTATCACTTTTTTATTAAGCTCCAAAACATTCATTCATTCATTCATTTAATCATTCATTCATTCATTTTCTTGTCAGCTTAGTAACTTTTTTAATCCGGGGTAGCCACAGCGCAATGAACCGCCAACTTAGCCAGCACATTTTTACGCAGCGGATGCCCTTCCAGCCGCAACCCATCTCTGGGAAAAGCTCCAAAACAGTGTATACAATATAAACATAAACATGCAGTAACAAATAGGCAAAATATTTATATTTAACAATCAAAAACATACAAAAACGGGGAGAAACAACTAAACACAGAGACAGCTGTATCCCTTTTTTATTTTTTATTTTTTCAGCTGTATCCTTTCTAGCGACGCCAGGACTCTTGTGTGACGTCACTGCGCGTCTCCTGCTTTGTGCGTCACCGGTGCGACACACGCGGCTCTCTACGCGCACAGTCGCGCTTTCATATTTTAACTCGTAATTTACACCGAAATCCGTCACAATTATGGCCACCGCCGTCGTTCCCGTGAGGAAGAGGATCCTGAAGGAGGAAGACATGACGAAGATTGAGTTTGAGACGAGTGAAGAAGTGGACGTGACGCCGACGTTTGACACGATGGGCCTGAGGGAGGATTTACTGCGCGGGATCTACGCATACGGTAAAAAACACCACAAAAATCCTCCATCATTCACGAAAGTTATGACATAAGCGGTTATAGAGCGGTATATGAGGGTTATTATGTGCTCTGAGGACTTTATGTATAGTCCTGATCAATATATCGATGCTACACCGATCAATACCTGCAGCATTACATTGTTTACATGATCAACAGAAGACTGAGGGGTTAAAAGTGAATTATTTTAATAATTATACTCCTAAATTCGACAAAAAAGCCTGTTAAACATGAAAACAACAACTGTGGTTGCGTGTGTGAGATGGAGACAGGGCTTTTGTTTACGTTCTTGCATATATAATCGTGTATTTATGTAGTTAGATTCATGTAGTGTTGTTGTTATTATGATAATATGTCGGTTATTGTGTTTGATGGTTTTGGTTATGATTCGTGCAATGTTATCATTATGATAGTATTTTGATTATGGAGACTATAGTATGCCAGTATCCTTAAGACATAACCACAGACTTTATTGCCATTGTAGTAATAAAACACAAGGTCGCATTAAAGAATTATATAAGAATAAACATGTTGATGTTTGAACAAGATGTTTGGGGGAAAAAACTGCTTTACAATTAAAACACAATCATCTATATATTTATACAATGCTCAGCATAAATTAATACCCATTTTGTAAATTCATATTTTCCTCCAGTTCTCAGTGAATATGGGTAATACATTTTAGTGCATTTAAGCAAAACAGAATTAGTAAACGGATATATTTATTAAAATAATATTTTAGTCATATTCAGAAATAAAAAGATAATACAATTAAATTAAAACAAAATATAAAAAAATAACTATAATATTTCAACACAATTGTATATATTTTTAGTTTTTCTTGATTTTATTTTATTTATTTATTTTTTTAATTTGTATTAATATTTTCCTTAGCATATAAATTTGGGCTAATTTCTCAACCATTATAAGTTATTTTGTTAGATGAGCTCCAGATTTGGCTTCAGTACTGACTAATCTAATGTATATGCACAATATAATATTGTATGGCATTGAAAACAGAAAATATCAATTTAAATGATTGATTTGTGAGGGCGTACTCGTATATGCTGAGCACTGTATATACATAGATCATGTTTTTTTTTTTTTTTTTTTTTTTGTGGGTTGAAGATGAAAGTAACTAATA